CCGGTGGAGGCCGCAGGCGGGGGCGGGACCGAGGACCCGGGAGGGCTCGGCGAGGTTTCTCAGCAGCCCCCCCGCCCACGAGCGGGCTGCGCCCCCCAAGCCTTCGGGGAGGAAGACGCCCCCGGCGCGCCCTTGGCCCTCCCGCTCTCCCGCCGGTCCTCGCAGGACCCTCAGGCCCCCAGATCCGCGCTCGTGCGAGCCCCGCCCCTCCCTCCCTCCTGTCAGGGCCGCGGGGAATTTCAATCTCCTGCTCCTGCCGGGGTCTTCGCGGGAGGGGGTAAAAAGCTGCACACCCCCGGATCGCCCGCCCTCCAACGGGAGAGAGACCCCCATACAACCGGGGGAGGGCGCGAGGCTCCCCCGGGCAGCCCCAGCACCGAAGCACCGAGAAAGGGGGGCCGGAGGGAGGGGCGAGAAGCGAGGGAAGGACGTCGCGGCGGGACAGGCGGGGAGGACGCGAGAGGGACGGTCACATCCGTGCGCATCCGTGCTGGCGGCATCCAGCGGGCGCTGTACGCGGGGCTCGGGCTGCACGGAGCTGGAGCTGTAAGTGCGCGGGGCCTGGTGGAGGGTCCGAGAGGGGGCTAGGCGGGGGCTGGGCAGGAAAAGGGGGGAAACCCGAACAGGGAAGAAGACCGAGAGCGGGGCGTGGAGCGCCAGCATGCGGGGCAGACATCCTGACACACACACCCAAGTTACCAGGGACCTAATGCTATTAAGAAGCCCCCTCCCCCAACGCTCTGGAGGGCTTATTGGGAGACACGCTGGGCCAGAAACTCCCCATCCAGCTTTCCTGCTGTGCTCACCACCCCCAGACTCATCTGCCTTGAGACCACCCGAGCCCCCAAATGGTCCGGCAGATGACTTGAGAGTTCTGGGTTCGAATCCTGGGTGCAAGCTACCCCTGCCCTGGGCTGTGAAGTGGGACAGTGCCATCTCATTTGCAAAATGTCATTCTGCATTCAGCCCAGGCCTGGGGGACAACCAAGAACGAGGCATGGCCCCTGTGCTAGCGTGGCCTTCAGCTCCTTGGCTGGCACTTACTTGGCTCATGGGACAAATGGGAGCTGGCCCTGGTGGCCATGCATGAGTGGGGACGAGGGCACATCCTGCTCCATGCTGCCATCCAAGCCCAGGAGAGTCACATCTGGGCCCACCAGACAGATGGGGGGTCCCCTGGACCTGGCACACTCCTACCTATATGAGATGAGGGCCCCCCAGGCAGCCACTGCTTTCTGTACTCATCACAGATGAATGACATGGGGGGACAGTGACATGCCCACTGGTGATGGCAGCTCTGGATGAGGTCCCTGGCCTCCATGGCAGGTGGTTCCCAGGTCCCCAAGCTGTTGGGTGCAGCAAGGTTTTCAGCTCCCCAGGCAGCCGAGACACCACTGTTGCCTCCATCCTAGCAATGGGTGGAGGGAGGGGTTGCAGCTGCAGTTGGTGTCAGGGTGGCCGGCCCAGCTAGACCCCAGGCCTCAGAATGTCCCAGGAGCTTAGCACTTGGACACCAGAGCCAGGGAGACCGCTGCTTGCTGGCTCTCAACCTTGGGCTGGTTCCTAAGCCCAGTGCCTCAGTTTCCTCATCTGAGAAGAGGGGAGCAGAGCAGCACCCCCACTCAGGCTACTCTGAGGATCGCAGGTGAGCTGTCCAGTGGAAACGCAGGGAAGGTGCCCACCCCCCCTCCACCTTGAACATTTTGTTTTCACAAATACCCCCCAACCCCTGCAGCTCAGGCTATTTGGCTCCTGCGTCATGTTTGTCTGTGGGACTGCTCCCCCCATAGCCCCTGTCACACGTAGATGCAGCTGGCGGTTGCCCTGGCAACAGCTCAAGCAGCGGCTGCTCTACTGGCTTTGAGGGGCTGCGGGGGGAGCAGCCTCTTCCACTCAGAGAGGGGAAGGGGGTCCTGTGACTCCCGGCCCCTGGGGACCTCACAACTGGCTATAGGAGTGACAGCTTCTGGAAGCACCATGCCCAGCCCACAGAGCCCTACATCTTTGGGGGAGGCACCCAGAGGTTTGAAAGCGAGGCCTCATTTCTGGCCTTCTGAGTGCTGCCCCTCCTGGGGTGAAGAGCTGCCCACCCTCCTTCTGGTCCTTGGCTCTTGGGTCTGGCAAGATGGGAGCTCTCTGAGCCCAGCACCCACTGGGCTGGCCCAGGGACAGGATGAGGCATTGTTGGGTGCTGGCCTGAGCTGGGAGCAGGTAGAGACCAGGGATGGCGACCCTGGACCACCACAGACAGACACAGCAAGGAGCAGGGAACTTGCTCAACAGCGTCTATTTAGAACCCACAGTTGCCAGGTGTGCTGGGGCCCCGCCCTCCCGCTGAGCTTATGTTTCTCATGAGGAGGTGGCCTCAGATGCTAAACAGAGCCATGCGTGGGGAGTAACCCTTAGTGGCCAGCAGGGCCCCAGGGAGCTGGCCTGGGCATGAAGGGCAGAGGCGGTCTAACCTGGCTCTGCCACCACTAACTTCCCATGAGACCCTGGGCAAGTAGTTGAACCTGCTAAGTCTCCATTTCCTTTGTCAAAAGAAAATGACAGTGTCCCCTGCTATAGCTGATGCACCTGGCCCACCTCCGTAAGTGGAAGAGGAAGGGGAACCCAGACAGCAAGTGCAAAGGCCCTGGGGTGGACTGGGGAGCACCTGTAAACGAGAGCCTGGGGCATGGGGCCCAAGGAGTGGGCACCATGTGGCAGAGGTGGCCTGGCTCTGGGATGGATTTCATCCAGGGAGGGAGGAGCCTCCCAGGGGCCGTGTGCAGGAGGCACAGGGCCAGAGGTTGTTGGGTGACCCAGGGCAGAGGTGGGTGTCTGGGCAGGGTGGTGTGCTAGATGAGGGGGCTTAGGAGGCCACAGTGTCTTAGCTATCACCCTGTCCTTACTCTGGGGGTCTGCAGGGGAAAGTGAGCCCCTGCTAAAGGGAGTATGCAGGTGTGATCACGGGCAGGCTGGGCACAGGGAGACTCAGGGAACTCACAGGGAGAGCAGCAAGCCTTCAGGGAGAGTCCCAGGGCTGCCACTATGGAAAAGAAAGGTGTCCTCCCCTGTATTCAGAGGTGCCCACTGCCAGGGTCCCTGGCTCAGCCCGATCCCTGCCCCACACACAGGTTCTGAACAGGACCACCAGGGCTCTGCCTGGGCCCAGGCTCCATTCCTCAGCAGAGGGCCGCTCTCTGTCCCAGTGGTGACTTCTGGGCATTCTTCCTGCTCCAGACAGGATGCAGCAGGGTGACTTGGTTGCCACAGCAACGTGAGGATAATTGAAGTGGGATGGACCAGGAGGGAGCGAGCGCTGTGGCCCCCAGTCCCAGGCATGCTCCAGCTGGGCACAGCCCGCTCCGTGCTCCCATTTTTGCTGATTGTGGGGAGTAGGCTCTGCTCTGGGGGGCACCACCCACCCTGGGTTTGCTGGCCCACCTGGGGTTGAGGATGGGGCGTTGACCCCTGCCGTGCTCGGTGAGTCCGTGTCCCCCTGCGGTGCATCCTGGCCACATGAGCAGCTGCCCTCTCTGCCCCGGGCATGTGGGCTGAGGTCCCAGGCCGCAGGCTCCCCTGCCATTGGGGTCCCACTGTGCCCTTTCCTACCTGTGGTCCTTTGGGGTACTGGGACGTCTGGGGTTCTGGCAAATTTCTTGGCCTCCTGTATAGAGGGCCTGAGTGGGCATGGGGGTTGGGAGAGTCCAACATCTTGTTCCTCTCAGCAAGCTCCTAGGAAAGACAGATATTTCCTGTCACAGCGTCTGGGGTCCCAGCCCTGGACAGGTGGGGTGTGGGTAGGGAGTGCAGCAGAGCAGGTCCCTTCCTGGTGAAATTCCAGCTGCTCCCAGATGGAACACCCACTCAGAGCCAGGCACTAGAGGCACTATTGTCACCTTTCACAACAGTCACCACCACGTCCCCAAAGTTACCCTGCAGGGGACACAAAGCCTTAACAGGTCACCCAGCAGGTGTAGTGGCTGGAGTCCACCAGTCCCCCTGAGTGCCCAGCACAGTCCAGGGTGGTGGGTGGGCTCCTGAGCCTCTGCCTGTCCCTCTTGTCCCCCCCATCCATCCTCCCCGCCTCCGGTGGCTTCAATGGTGCACAAATGAATGTGTAGTCAACCAAAGGCCGCGGGCCATGCTGTCTGCTGCAGGTCACCCACCATGTCGACCTTGCTGGAGATCAAGAGCAGTGTGCTCAGGCAGGTGCAGGTGTGCCCGTCCTTCCGTCGCAGGACCGAGCAGGAACCAGGGAGCACCAGCGCTGACCCGCAGGAGCCCGCCACGGGGGCCTGGTGGGTGCACCTGGCCTCCCTTTCCTGGCTGGACTTCCCACACCACTGCCCCGGCACCTGCCCACCTGGGCAGGAAGTGGGGGGTCTGAACTCACACTGCTGCCACACTCCAGATGTGTGGAGGTCTGGGTAGATGGGCCCCTTGCGTTGTGCGGCTGGTCCCGAGCTGGGGCCAGCATGTCCTGTGAGCTGAGAGCCAACCTGGGCCTTTCTCCCAGGAAACCTGGCGATGGCGTGGAGTTCTTTGCCCAGATGCGTCTCATCCTGAAGAAGGGGGAAGGCAGACAAGGCCTGCCGAGCTCCGAGGTGAGCACCCCTCCCCCAGGGCCCAGGCACCAGGCACCCATTAGCCCATCCACACCTGCCTCCACCCTCCCTCCTTCCTCCCTGGAGCACCCCCTGTCCAGCCAGCCTCAGGATCCTAGGGGGCAGCCACGTGCTAAGGCCCTGGCCACCCCTGAGACCCTCACCCTGTTGCCCCTCACAGGTCCTCTTGCGCAGTGATTCACCAGCCCCCGCTGAGCCCGTGGACCCCAACCGTGGTCTGAGAGCCCTGACCCAGGAAGAGGTAATGGGGGGGTCCAGTCCCAGGAAGAAGCTGGAACTACTACTCTCAGCCATTTATGAGCACCTCTGCATGTGGGTCCAGGGTCCAGTGACAGGTGCACTGCAAAGGTGGGTGGGATGGGTGAGTGAGGAGTGGAGGGTCCCCTAGTGGAGGGCCCAGCAGGTGCAAAGGCACCAAGGCAGAGACCGGGGCTCGACCAGTGGGAGGAACTCAGGGAGTGGACAGGAGGAGCCTGGGACCCACCCCGTGACTGGGGCTCAGGGCTTACTCCCCACCCCCACCCACAGGTGGACATGCTCTATGAGGAGGCTTTGTACACCGTCATCTACCGCGCAGGGACCATGGGCCCTGAGCAGGTGGACGACGAGGATGCCCTACTGGGCTACCTACAGCAGGTGAGCCCCATCAGCTCTGCCCACCTGCAGGCCTGGCCCCATCCCGCTTGACCTACCCCACTTTGGGGAGAACTGAGACCACTTCCCACCCTAACCTCCTCCCCCCACTGCTGACATCACCATCAACAGAACAACACACAGAATTGCCCCCATGCACCCACGACAACAGATGGCAGCACATGTAAGCACACATATGTGCACAGGCAGACACAGGCTGACAGACGTACCAGAAGGACAGCAAGATGGGCAGACACATGGAGACACACAAAGAGGATTAGAAAGGACAGAAGGATGGACTCTCCCAGAAAAATGGACAGACACACACTTTCCCTCTCCACCTGCATGTGCTCTGAGCTCCCCACGCCCCTGTGCCCCCATGAAATGAGGTCAGGCATTCCTGACTGTGGCCACACCGAGGCCCCCCAGGACAGCAGGCAGCCTCAACCCTTCCACCTGCCCTCCTTCCTCAGGCATTCGGCACCAGCCCAGAGGAGCACGCCGGGGCCGTTGAGTGTGTGAAGCGAGCCAAGGTAAGGCTGCCAGCCAGGGGGCAGGCATCAACCTGCTGCAGTGCCCATGTGCCAGGGCCCAGCATAGGGCCCTGTCATGCTCATGCTGAGCAGGTGTCCAAAGGGGCAGCTCAGCCCCGAGAAGCCCCCTAGCATCCCTCTGTCTGCAGGCCCCCACATATGCCCTGAAGGTCTCCGTTATGCGTGCCAAGAACCTTCTGGCCAAAGACCCCAATGGTGAGCGGGGACCCAGTGGACCCCTGTCATGCCCGGGCCTGGCGGCCCTGGAGGGTGGAGGGCGTGGGCTCGGGCACTGAGTCACCTGCTGCGTTCCAGGCTACAGTGACCCGTACTGCATGCTGGGCATCCTGCCGGCCTCGGGCACCCCGCGGGAGCCTGGCGAGCAGAAGGACCAGCGCTTCACCTTCTGCAGGGGTGGCAAGCGCAGTGGACTGCTGCCGGCCAAGTGTATTGAGGTCACCGAGGTCAAGAGCAGCACCCTGAACCCTGTCTGGAAGGAGCACTTCCTCTTGTAAGCCCTTCCCCAGCTGCGTGGCCGAGTGGCGGGGGGGTTGGAGGGGCACTGCCTGTGGTGCCAGAGCTGGGGCTGCCCAGGGGGTGACACAGCTGTTCCTGGTCTCATTGCCTGCCCCGGGGAACTTTGAGGGGGCTGGTCGTATGCCCACTTTCCAGAGGAGGAAACTGAGGTCCAGAGAGGGGCATCATGCCCCTGTGGCCACACAACTGGTGGCAAGTGGCAGAGTCAGGATTTGAACCCAGGCAACCTGTCTGGAAAGTGGGAGCTGGGGGCCCCCTCCCTGTCGCTGCTGAAAAGTCTCCCTTGCTCAGGCCACTCCCAAGCATCTGTGTTCTCCTTGTAGTGAGATCGAGGATGTCAGCACAGACCAGCTGCACCTGGACATCTGGTACAGGCCCCTGTGCCCTGCAGGGCAGGGGGAGTGGGTGCCTCTGGTCTCGGGGGGAGCAGGGAGGACTCTGGGCCAGGCTGAGGCTCCAGACAAGCCAGGCCCTCCCCACCCACCCACGCAGGGACCACGACGATGACGTTTCCCTGGTAGAGGCCTGCAGGAAACTGAATGAAGTCATTGGCCTGAAGGGCATGAGCAGGTACTGTGGGTGGGAGGGACACTTGTGTCCCCAGACCTCAGGGGCACTGCATGCAGTGGATCCCCAGGGACCATCAGCGTGATGCCCACCCTGCTGTGTCTAGGTACTTCAAACAGATTGTGAAGTCAGCCCGTGCAAATGGGACAGCAGGGCACAACGAGGACCACACTGATGACTTCCTGGGATGCCTGAACATACCTATCCGGGTGAGTGGGCACGGGGAGGGATGGAGGTGGTTACATTTAGGGGACACCTGCGGTGCCCTCAGGCATTGGGGGTGCCCTGAGCTTCCTGAGATATTTCCAGTGGCTACTCCTCCGATCCCCCCAAGAGCCTCCCACCCTCCTTGGGCTTCGGGGGCCACCCCCAGAGGCAGGGAGAGGGACTGCCTCAAATGTTCTGTTGGGTTTGGGCACCCGCTGAGCACTACCTATGAGCTGGTCACCCATGTCCTCATGAGAAGGGAAGCTGAGGCCGTACGTTCTCCCCAGGGTCGCACAGAGTCTGGCTGGGAGGTAGGAGGGGGGAGGAGTCTCGGGTCTGACCCTCCTGCCGCCCCCAGGAGGTGCCCGTGGCTGGCGTCGACCGCTGGTTCAAGCTGGAACCGCGTTCCAGCGCCTCCCGCGTGCAGGGAGACTGCCACTTGGTCCTCAAGCTCATCACCACGCAGGTGGGAATGGCCCTCCAGCTGATCTACACGCAGGTGGGGGAGCGGTGGTGCGCAGGGGTCGGGCAGGGCCGATGACTGCGCGGGGTCTGCGTTCCAGAGGGACACGGCCATGAGCCAGCGCGGGCGATCCGGATTTCTGTCCCATATGCTGCTGCTGAGCCGCCTGCTGCGCTTCGAGCACAGAGCGGAGGAGGTAGCACGCGCCCGCAGGAGCCCCAGGGCCCTGAGCGGGGATGGGGGTCTCCCGCCCCCGCCCACGCCCGGCCTCCTCCCGCAGCCTGACTCGAGCAGCTGGCGCGGCGAGCTCAGCGCGCCGGCCGCCACAGTCCTCTGCCTGCACGGGGCCCAGAGCAACCTGTCACCGCTGCAGCTGGCGGTTCTGTGAGTGGGCGGGGCGGACCGAGGGCGCGGGACCGAGGTGAGGGGCGGGGCTTGCTGGGGGAGGTCGCTGTGCGGGGGCGTGGCCAGATGCCGCCCCACCCCGGCCCCTGCAGGCACTGGCAGGTCAGCAGCCGTCACCATCAGACCCGTACGCTGGACTACGGCTACCTGCTGGGGCTGCTGGAGGACATGCAGGCGCACTGGGAGGAGGCGGCCTCGCTACCGCAGGAGCAGGTGGGCGCGGCGCTGGCCTACCTGCTGCGGGTGCAGGGTGTGCTGGGGACCGGGCCTGTTCCGTGCTGGGCAGTGAGGGGCAGAGTCCTGCCCTCATGGGGGTGAAGATAAACCGACAGAGCCTCACGATGTAGAAGAGCGCAAGTACTGTGTTGTGAGGAGAGGGTGGCATGTGTTGGAGTAACTTCTGGAGAGCAGCCGGGAGGGGAAAGAAGGGAGTGGGGAAAGCCATAGAGGTGGTGACAGTCCGTAACAGGAGGAAGCTGTCAGTTATAGGGTGGGGCAGAGAAAGCAGCTGGTGTAAAGGACCTGAGGCTCCTGTGGGCAGTGAGCAGAGAGTCGTGAAAACAGACTGGTGCAGGACAGCATGGGAAAGTTGCGAGGGGTCAGAGGCCGAAAGAGGGTGCTCCTCTGGGCAGAGCCTGGCAGACAGGGCTGGCCACACAGTAGGGAGGATGCTGCTGGGGCCAAGGCAGGATGGTGGGGCTGCTGGTGGTGGCACTCTGAAGGGTCCTGTCCCCCAGGAGGAGAGCCTGGCTGACAGTTTCTCCGCCTTCTCTGAGTTCGGGTTGTGTCTGCTGCGCCAGCTCCGAGACTACTTTCCTGCCTCCAACAGCACGGCCGTCTACCGCTTGGAGATGCTGCTGAGGTGGGTGCAGCTGCCACGTGCGGGGGCGTGGGGTTGGCTGGGGCAGTCCCCACTCAGCTGGCTGCCCTCACCCAGATGTCTCAGCAAGCTGAAGCTCTTCCAGCCCTCCTTTGAGATCTGCCCCTTCCAGTCAGAGCTGAACATGGACATTGCTGCCACCCTGAAGGTGTGTTTGGGCCTGGGCCAACCACTTGGCCCCTGCCCTCCCCTGCCTGGCTGGGACCCTGAGTACCACAGTCCCTGGCCCTGTCCGTTCGTCTTCCCAACAACCCACCATGCTTCCCTGGTGGTTTCCGTTGCAGAGAGGCAACCGCGAGTGGTATGACAGACTGTTGGACTCCAAGAGCCCTCGAGAGCAGGTGCAGTTCAGGGAGGGCTTGGCCGCATCTGGTGTGGGCAGGCCGAGAGCGCGGTACCAGCCAGGCTTCTTTGCAGCCAGGGCCACAGCGCCTCGCCGGGCTTGTTGAGCTGGCAGATGCCATCTACGACGACCTGCAGTCCTGCTACAGCATCTATGCCAGCCTCTTCCACAGGTGGGCCCAGCACCTCAGTGCTGACACTGGGCCAGGGCCAGGTGGGGGCCGGCAGGGCCTGCTGGTGGGGAGCAGGTGGCTGAGGTGTGTCCTTTGCAGCATCCTCAAGGTGGACTTCTTCACTCTTACCTTCCGGCAGCTGGAGCGTCTGGTGAGGAGGGTCACCGATCCTGGGTGTCTTCCAGGCATGGGGGAGCAGGAAGAGGCCCCCTGGCTAGGAAGGGCTGGGTTTCTTTGTTGCAGTGGGTTGATCCTGTCCTCTTGGGCAGGTGGCCGAGGAGGCCTGGGTGCTGACAGAGGAGCTGAGCCCCAAGATGACCCTGGAGGTGGCCTCAAGGCTCTTTGAGCTCTACCTGACCCTGGCAGACACTCAGCGCTTCTGGAGCAGCATCCCTGGCCGGTGTGCACTCCCCCCCAGATAGGCTCTGGGATGGGAGACCCCAGGACCTGTGAGGGAGGCTCTCCTTGTGCCCCTGTGGCCGTGAACTAAGAGCACACTAGGTTAAGGTGTCTGAGTTGGGGACTAGCTTTGACTGGTCTCCCACTGCAGGGACAGCCGCTCCCTGGCCCTGGCTGGCATTCATGTCCCATTCCTGCCCGCCGTGAAGCTCTGGCTGCAGGTGCTGCGGGACCAGGCCAAGTGGCGGCTTCAGGGAGCCGTGGATATGGACACAGTAAGTGCGTTCCCAGACCTGAGGACACTGGGGTGTCTCCAGGGTTCCCGTCAACCCTGATCTCTTTCTGCCTTCCCAGCTGGAGCCCATGGATGCCTCTTCCAAGCACAGCAGCTCTGCAGTCACCGCTGGTCTTTGCTTCAGCCACATCCAGGAGCTCTGGGTCCGCCTGGCATGGCCTGATCCCACTCAGGCCCAGGTGCTGGGCATCCAGCTCAGTCAGGTGCGTGGGCTCCAGGGGGTGAGGGGAATAGGCCAGGAGGAGATGGGGCCAGGGAGGGGTCCACAGCTCCCCAGCACCCGTCTGCCACCTCAGGACGTGTGTGAGGCCACTCTCTTCTACACCGAGCTGCTGCGGAAGAAGGTGGATGCTCAGTCCGGAGCAGCGGGAGAGGCAGTGAGCGAGCCAGTGAGTGGCTGGCGGGGCGGGGGGGGTGGGCAGGAGGCAGGCCACCACAGGAACCCAGACCCATGCACCTCTGGCCACACCCTCCCCCCAGCTCTGTGTGGTCCTCAATGATGTGGAGCTGGTGAACAAGGCTGCTGCGCAGGCGCTGAGGGGCCTGGCGTGGCCGGAGCGGGCATCGGGGTTGGAGGGGGTGCTTCCCCGGCCCCTACTCAGCTGCTTGCAGACCCTGGATGAGGACCTGCAGAGGGAGGCCCGCACGGTGACGGCGCACCTGACCTCCAAGGTAGGCAGGGGGGCTTGGGCATGGGGGCTGCTCCTGGTGCCCCCAACACCTTGCTGAGCACTGCCCCTTCCCTCAGATGGTGGGCAACATCAGGAAGTACGTGCAGCACATCAGCCTCTCTCCTGACTCCATTCAGAACGATGAGGTGAGCCTGAGCTAGGGTGGGGGCAGAGTGCAGAGAGTGTGTGTATACGTTGGGGGTGGGGCGGGGGTCCAGGTGCAGGCCAGCCCTGTGGACCCCTGCCCACAGGCTGTGGCCCCACTCATGAAGTACCTGGATGAGAAGCTGGCCCTGCTGAATGTCTCCCTGGTGAAAGAGAACCTCAGCAGGTACTGGTGGGACAGGGTGGGAGGGAGGCAGCCCGGGCTCGGTTACTGACACTGCGTCCCCACAGGGTGCTGGAAGCCCTGTGGGAGCTGCTCCTGCAAGCTATCCTGCAGGCACTGGGCACAAACCGCGACGTCTCCACCGACTTCTATGGCCGCTTCTACTTCACGTTGGAGGTAGGCTGTGTGCAGTAGCTCTCTGCCGGAACTCCCCCGCCCTCTCCCCACAGGCCCCCAGCGACCAGGCTGCCCTTACCCCTCCTTCGCTTTGTCCCCACCAGCCCCTTACCAGGATCCCAGCCTCCTCTGCCTGCACAGCCACTCCTCCAGGGCCCTTCCTCCCTATCAGCAGCAGCCTCTGTGCTGCCTGTTAGGCTGACTGGCTGGCTTGCCTCAGGTGCTGGCATTTCCCCAGGCCTCCCAGGGGCTTCTGCTGTGCCCAGGTGTGAGAAGTGGCCCTGCCCCGAGCTCCTGAGACCCTGGTGCTGCTCGTACTCCCTGGAACTTTGGGTCTCCATCTGTCCCCAGCACACGCTGGGTCTCCTGATATCTCTCCCTTCTTACCCTGTCCCAGGCCCTGGTCAACTTTTTTCATGCTGAGGGCCAGGGCCTGCCCCTGGAGAGCCTAAGGGATGGAAGCTACAAGGTGAGGACTGGCCCTTCTGCAGGGGGTGACACAGGAATCTGAGTTCAACCTGCTGCCCTGCACCAGCCCAAGTCATGTGACCTGGCACCCTCTCCCAACACCCTCCCCTGCAGAGGCTGGAGGAGGAGCTGCGGCTGCATAAATGCTCCACCCGTGAGTGCATCGAGCAGTTCTACCTGGACAAGCTCAAGCAGGTAGGGCAGCCTACGGTGGGCACGCAGCCCCATTCTGGGAGCCTCTGCCCACTCACTGGTCTTTCTGCAGAGGTCCCTGGAGCAGAAACGGTTTGGGCGCCTGAGCATCCGCTGTCACTATGAGGTGGCTGAACAGCGGCTGGCTGTGGAGGTGCTACATGCCGCTGACCTGCTCCCCCTGGACACCAACGGTGAGGTGTGGTGGTGGGGGCAGGTGGGGCCAGTGGGTCAGGCTGGCTCATGGCTGTGTGCCCCCAGGCCTGAGTGACCCCTTTGTGATTGTGGAGCTGGGCCCACCGCACCTCTTCCCACTGGTCCGCAGCCAGAGAACCCAGGTCAAGGCCCGGACGCTGCACCCCGTGTATGACGAGCTCTTCTACTTGTGAGTGCCCACGCATCCCTGAGACCCAGGCCCCGTGCTGGCACAGTAGGGCTCCAGGTGACTGCCCTCCATCTGCAGCTCCGTGCCCGTAGAGGCGTGCCGCCGCCGTGGAGCCTGCGTGCTGTTCACAGTCATGGACCACGACTGGCTGTCCACCAACGACTTCGCTGGGGAGGCGGCCCTTGGCCTGGGTGGTATCAGCGGCGTCACACAGTCTCAGATGGTAGGGGGCGCAAGAGCTGGGCAGCCTGTCACCCTGCACCTGCGCAGGCCTAGAGCCCAGGGTGAGTACTCACTGGGTGGCAGTAGGGGCCTAGGGGTGGCCAGGCCTGGTGTTGGCTACCACATACCCACCTGCCCACCTGCAGTGAGGTCTGCGCTGCGGATGCTGGAAGGCCGCACCAGCAGGGAGGCGCAGGAGTTCGTCAAGAAACTCAAGGAGCTGGAGAAGTGCATGGAAGCAGACCCCTGAGCCGCCCCTGCTGCTGCCTGCCCCTCCCCCAAGTTCCCTGCAGCCAGGACTCTTGGTGCCTCCTCTCTTGCTGTGACATGTTTGCTGTGACTTCAGTCCACTCTGGTGGTGCCCCTTTGGTGTATGCTATGAACAAATTACACCCCAGCAAGTTCCACCCTCACCCTGAATCTGGGCAGCCGATGCAGCAGGACCTGGCCAGCAGCTGTTCCCTTGCACACAGAGCAGACTAGAGTGGGCATGGTGACCAAGTGGGCTTCTCCACCTTGGGCTCCATAGCGGGTCTCGGTGGCAGCTTTGCTCCCCAGGGGACATTAGGCAACAACTGGACACACTTTTGGTAGTCACAACTGAAAAGTGAAGGGGGTGCTGCTGGTACCAGTGGGTGGAGGACAGAGCTGCTGCCCAACATCCCACAGTGAACCAGACAGCACCCAACAAAACACAGTCCGTTCCCAAATGTCAAGTGCCATGCTGGAGAGCCCATATTAAGAAAACCATTCCCTCCCTCTCCTGGGGGAGGGCAAGTCCTCGCCAGGCCGAGAGGCAAGAGGGCCTGGGGTTAAGTAGTTGAGGGCCCCAGGGGGCGGTGAAGGTGCGGGTGCTGCTGTGTCAGCACCCCTCTCCTGGCACTGGAGTCCTCCCCATCAGCAGGGACGCAGAGGAGGTTTGCTGAGTTGCACGGGTCTCCAGTCCCCACCTGGCTCCTGGGGCCACTCTGTGAAGCCCAGGACATCACCCACGGCTGATGGTCAGTGTACAGGACTCCACGCCAACTGGTCGGCTGTCCTTTCACATACATGTATGTGACCGCATAAGACTTACTCCACACCCAGACCCTTCCAAGCAGGGTCTGCTTCACCAGAGGCCACGCCGTAGGCTGAGTGTGAAGGAAGAGACCAATCTACTGCTTGTCCTGCAGTTTCATTGAGAGAGCTCCAAGGCAGGACGCAGGGCAAGGCTGCCAGAAGCATTGGACAGAACCTGGAGGGTCCAGGCCTACCTGTGTCCTCATGTGTGTCACTACTATCTCTAGATGTCATTACCCAGCCTCAAAAATACATATGTCTGCAACCTTCAGTCTCTCTGCCGTTTCTTGATTCCTTTCCAGACCCTAGCTGGGGCCATGGCTGCAGCCCCTTCCTCCAGGGTCTCTTCCTCCTCGGGGCAGCTGCTGCTGTCTCCATCGTCCTCAGCATCAGGCCCTTGCTCTTCAGACTCGTTGCTGTCATCAGCATTTGTGGGCAGCCTGGAAGGGAGGGGCGTGTTTCCTAAACGTGTGGTTCCCGAGCAGCCCAAGGCAACCTTCCCCACTGCAATCACCCATGAGTGCCCCAACCCAAGAACACATTCCTCTTATTCCTTGTGTTCTTTAAACCAAACGCCCTCTGGCAGGACATCCATTTTATACTGTATAGTCAGAAAACAATCAAGGTGTTGCTTAGGACTCCATCCCCCTGCACAGCGGTTAAAGGAGAGCCCTGGGTCGGACCTCTCACCAAACTAGGAAGCCCAGGGACCTACCGGGTGCTGGGCATGGGCCTGTTGGGGTTTGCAAACTCTCGCCCTGAATCCACATCAAAGGGGTCTGAACAGAAGAGGAAAGGAGAGAAGGTGACCTCTAAGTGAGCTTGGAGCAGAATCAATTCCCCCAACCCCCCGGCTCCTCAAAAGGAGGCGGCAGGCCTGGAGGGTCTCAGCTCCCATCTGTATCAAGCCTCACCGATTTCCTCCTCCTTGGGGCTCTCCTTGGTGCCCATCAGGAACTCCTGCTCGGCCTGCAGCACCTCCTCCGGGCCACCGCACGCAGAATACTTGTCCAGGAGCTGGCGGTTCAGGTCCAGGAAGCCCTTGCCCCACTTAAACTTCCGCAGCAAAATAATAGCAAGGTCTGAAAAGCCTGATGGTTGCAGGAACCAGAAAACACAAAGATGTTGACAATCCCTCTGTGCATCCTGATCACCCTGGCTGCTGGGTGGTGGTCCTGTCCCAGTTAACTGAGAGGTCCCCACCAAACACCAACTTACAGTCCTGACAACCCACACCCACCCCCGGCCTCTGTCTCCCTCCCTACAACACTCACCTCCACAGTCCACTAAGTTCATTTGCTGAGAAACACAAACATTCCCACCACAACTGTCTCCATATCTCCTGGGTCTCCATCTGGACCTCTCTTTGGACCATAAATTCTCTGAGAATAAGTTGAGGAGGATGAGGAGGATCCTCTGGCTGGACCCACACACCAGCCCTCATAGGGCAGCCATCCCATTCTACCTCCACCTCGACTCCAAAAGCAAAGACTGAAAGCGGGAGTTAGAACTGAAACCCTGTCTGTCTTGACCACCTCCCTGTACACCCCTTGCTATCCTCCTGGGGTCTGCCGGCAGGAAACACAATGTTGGGAGTGGACCTAGGCCACCAGACCTCCAGGCCCTGGAATTCACCTATGATGCAGAAGGTGGCCGCAAAAGCTTCCACGCAGGAAAGTTTGCAAGGCCGGCCATAGTTCACAGGGTTGGCAGCCACCAAGTAGGGCAGCAACCGCAAGTGGCTCCCTCGCATCTTCCCAAATGGCGTCTCGTCCAGTCTGGCCCAGGAGCAGTCGATGACAGCGACCCCACACTGTGCCACCAGCTGTCTGCCAGGAAAAGCGTAGGGTAGCTTCCGGGGGCCGGCACCACCTTGGTGATGGCCCCAAAGTGACGTGTGTCCCTGGAGACTGGTCTCGCCGAGGACACAGACATCATTCCCCTATCTCCAAACACCCCAAAGGGCCCTAACGGCAAGCTTTCGAGGAGGCGGCTACCCCCGTACCTGGAGTACGCTCACTTATCCCACCCAACAGGAGCCTGTCCTGGGCCCTCCTGTATCCTAGGCTCTGCAGCGGGGACAGGCTAGACAGACGCGTGCCCTGCCCCGTGGAGGGTCTGTGTACGTGAGCATGGTACACAAGTCCGAATAGGGGAGCCCAGAAAGGAAGGATGCGCGGGAGATAGGGCAGGCACCGCGCCCTCCCCAGCCTCACAGCCCGCGCCTACCTGTCTGCGGGCGACACGTACTGTGCGCCCACGGGGCTGAGCACCAGGCCTCCGAACCTGCAGCCCAGGCGCAGGCGGCGCACCAGGCCCAGGCGGGCCAGCTTCCGGCCGGTGCAGCGCCGGGGGTCGCAGTGGCCCAGCTCCCATATAGCCAGCGCGCAGGGCAGCGCGGCCGGGCCGGGGCCGCGCTCGTCCTCGGTCGCCTCCGGTTCCACGGACGCTGCCCCGAGAGAG